CACGGCCGAGCGACAGGGGAAGGCCGCGATGCCAGCAGGGAGAGACGACGACGGACGACGACGACGACGACGACGACGACGACGACGACGACGACGACGACGACGACGACGACGACGACGACGGACGACGACGGACGACGACGACGACGACGGACGACGACGGACGACGACGACGACGACGGACGACGACGGACGACGACGACGACGACGACGACGACGACGACGACGACGACGACGACGACGACGACGACGATGGTGCGTACCGCCACGGGCGACGGGGCCACCCAGGGATTGGCGAAGCAGGGAGGGAAAAGGAGGAGAGGAAAATACGATCGTCTCCTCAGTCGTCGTTGTGCCGATCGTCGCGGGCCCTTGCACCCCGTTCCTTCCTAGGGCGACGAGATTTATACATATCCACTGCTGCAAGCCAGGCCCATCCTGGGGCCAGGAATACTGTATACGCCTCTTTGGCCAAACCAGGAGGTCGTATACACTACTCCTGGGCCCCGGATGAGCCTGGCCAGCAGCAGTGGATATGCATAGATGTCGTCGCCCTACTTCCTCCCCCCCCCCCACATGGGGTAGATCTTGCCTGTTTGGGGCGCCTTTTTCGAGCAGGTGGGGTCTGCCCCACATAGGACGCCATGCTTCCAACCGTCGCACTAAAAGCGGAGGCCTGGAGCCAGACCCCGCCCCCTTTTTCCCCCCTCGTCCGCCCCGCGTCGAAACTCCGAAGAAGGAGAAAAGAAAGATGAGAGGCGGTTCCGAAACCGGCATGTCGACGGACAAAGGGGCATAGACGCGAATATCGGGGGCGGCAAAGAGGGGGGTGATGACTAGGGGGGGGTGGATATCATGGCGGGGGCCATGATGTTTCCCCAGATTTCATGGCGCCTCGTCTTATTTCGTTACGTCCCTGGCCTCCCCGCTGGGCCGCGCACATGCCGCCGGTCATGATTTGCACCCCCCCTCTTGGACACCCCCCTCTTTGCCGCTCCCGAAATACACGCAGGGACCGTCAGAGCGGGAAGGGCAAGGAGTGGAGCAATCAGGGAAGCCAAGAATCGGCGGCCGCCAAAGCAGGCAGACGAGTAAACAGAGCCGCTGGCCTTCCGGGAGCGAGACAAACCAAACGGCCTGCGACCCACCCCACACATTTGTAAGTCGGCCGCGCAGAGGGTCCTCAAGCGCGGGTAGCAGATGGAAGTGCGAATCACGATCGAGCATTGTCGAAGGCACAGTGCACGGACGTGCACACTGTCACATGCAGCGATGGGTGGTGTGAAGGAGAAGTTGCAAATCCAAGCGAAGCGTGCAGCGGCCAGAAAACCGAGGAGACAACTCAACTCGAGGGCCACCCACCCATCTCACACGCGCACACACGCTCGCACACGCACGCACGCACGCGCACAGGTGAGGGCGCAGGCCCAGGACGTAGTAAAGGACCAGAAAGAAGGCTGGGTCTGCCAGCAGGGCAGCACCGGCGGCGGCCAGGTCGTCACCCAGCCCGCCCCAATCGAAGTTGTCCGGGAGCGGGGTGTCGTAGACGGAAGCAAAGCCCAGGGCGTGCTGCTCCTGTGCCTTTTGCATCTGCCGGAAACAGGCCTTGATCTTGCCTTCGGCGAGTATCGCCTTCGTCTCGCTCGAGGCTGGCTGCACTGTCTGCCCGTCCGCTCTGGAGCTGCCCGGGGTCGAAGGCTGTGTCTTCGTCAAGCCTGCGCCGGGCGCCTGCGACCTCTTCGTGCTTGTAATCCAGGTGCCTGCGCGCAGAGCCTAGTCGGCAAGCGCGTTGAACTGGGCCTCGCCGGCTGCCTTGCACATCTTGCCGTTCATGACGACGATGAGGCTTTCCTGGGCTCTTGTCATGGCGACGTTGATGCGTCGGGCGTCGTCCATGAACCCCCACTCGTTGGCCGGGTTCGCAAGCGTGGTGCAGCAGATAACCAGCGCTGCGTCACCCTGACACCCGTCGACGGTGCCGATGGCGATGAATTTGGGCACCGCGCTTCGAGCCCAGGGAAGGCGAGCAGGAGTCCGTTCTGCGGAGTCGGTCGCTGGCTGCAGGTGGACTCGCCAGGGGCCGGGGAGCCGCCTTCGCCCCCGCGGGATGTGCTCGTGGGCGTTGACCCTTTGCCAGTGGACTTGCCCTTGCGCCGGCCGTGATATGCCTCGAGGAAGGCGCCCGGGCGGAGCGGGCGGCTGTGGCGTAGCGCCACCACGCTGGCGCGGCATCCTGCGATGACGAGGACCTTCTTGTCGCGAGCGATGAGGTCAGTGGCAGCAGCGGCAACCAGGTCGCACACCGCTGCAGCCTCCATGATGTTCGCCGTGCCTTCCACGTGGTTACAGGAGACCTCGGCGGAGTCAGAGTGGACGAGCAGTACCCGCTGGTGGTCGCCACGCAGCGAGCCATGGACGGGGTGGCGCCACTTGCCAGCGCCGATGGCTGGGTTGTCGGTTGGGAAAACCGCGGGCGATACAGGCCCCCTCAAAGTCCTGGGGAGAGAGAGGGGTGGCCCGGCGCCAGTTGAGGCCTGTGCCGTGAATCAGGGGTCTCTGCCTGGCCGGGTCTGTCAGTCCCCCCAGGAGCAGCCCGTCGCAGAAGCAGTCCGAGGTCCACAGCAGAATGGATGGGTGCATCCAGTAGCACTTGTCCAAGAGGAGCACGTTGTTCAGGAGGGAAAGAAACACACAGACACAATTAATCGTCGACTCCCAGGAAAATATGGGAAAATATGCGAAGTGGGGGGGAAGACAAAAACCCAGAAAATATGAGAAAATATGGGGAATCTTTTTATTTGTGTGTATTTATTTGTGTGTCCTGGGGCCCCTTCAGTTGTAGTGGTCGCAGGGGCCAGGTGAGGCGTGGAGCCTACTGAGCACCGACAGGCCCATGCTCATGGCCTCGGCGCGTCGGGGGAGAGCCGCGGGCGGGAGCTGGTTCTGGTCCCCGCAGACCACGAGGCGGCCCCCAGTCCGCACCGCGAGGGCGATGGAAATGATAGCCAGGGCTTCAGTGGACTGGCCAGCCTCGTCCAGAGCACCACCATGGAGAGGATCGGGCAGTACACCGTAGGCGATGCTTAAGAAAACTTAAGTTCCCGGCCAGAGTCTCGATTATTCTTAACGTTTCAATGTAAATCTTAAGATTGTAATAGACACGTTGGGTTCTTATTCAAGTTCTGAGACTATGAATTTCTTAACCCATGATTTCTTAAGCATTTCGCAGGGTGTAGTCCGCCGTGAGGTCTGCAGCGAGCCCGCGGGTGCCCAGAGGCAACTCGGCGGACTGCAGGTGCCCCCTGCGGAAGATGGGCCAGGCCTTTGGGTCACAGGGGGCACGCTGTTGCGCGGGTGCACGTGGTACTGCTCCTCGTACAGCCGGACCGAGGTATAAGATCGAGGTCGGTTCGGGGAGGGTACCCTCGTGTTCTTCGTGTTTGTTGGATGTTCTTGTGCACCCTGGTCTGGATGCCCTTAGGTGCTCTGTCTGTTTTGGCCAGCGGAGGGTCTCATGTTCTTGAGGGGTGTTCTTCTGGCCTAGGTCTGTCTGTACCAGGCAGCCAGGGTGAGCGCGCGGGCGTCGTCACTGGTGGTGCGGTCATCGCACCCGAGGCGGATTGCAGCTTCGGGGAACCCGGAGGCCGGGTTCAGTTGTCCTCGGCGCGCGGCGTTGGCCAGGTAGGCGGCTAGCACACTCGGCGCCTTCGCTTGACCCCGAGAACAAACCTACCGCAGCTCCGCGTGGGACCGTGGGGAGCCAGACGTCGAGGAGCGCCGCAATGGACATGCACACACACACACACACACACACACACACACACGCACGCACACAGTTTGGGGCGCACGCAAGCGGGGCGCCAGCCGCTCGGCCGATCCACGAGCAGCGAGCTCACGAAAGCTGAGCAGCAGCAAGCGAGGCTGCCCAGGATCGGCCCTGGACAGCCCGCGGGCGCGAGGAGGGAGCGCTGGCCCCTCGCGGGGCCAGTGGCGGGGCACCGAGGAGCGGCGGCCGCCGCGCGGGAGAGCCCCACTGGAAGTCGCAGCCCTGAGGCGGTGCACAGCGGAGGCTGCGAAAGGAGGCCACCGATCCCCACCGCGACGAGTCGCCATAGGGGAGCGAGGAATGACATAAATAAAAAAACTCTGAGGTCCGCGCGGGTTTCTCGGATCGGCGCTGGACCCCCCTGGCGGCACCTCCGGCGCCTCCCTTGGCGCGCTCCGCGCGCGCCCTGCGCTCGGGCCGCTCTTGCTGCTCCATCGAAAGACTGGCATAGGGGAGCGAAAAATGCCATAAACCTAAAAACGCGGAGGTCCGCGCGGGTTTCTCAGATCGGCGCTGGGCCCCCCTGCGCCGACCGAGAAACCCGCGGAGAGGGCGCGGCAGCAAAGGGGGCCAGGCGGCAGGCTACGTCGACGGCGGACTGGGGAGGGCCGGGGGCCCGAGCACGCCATCGATCCTCACGTGGGGCGTTCCAGGAAGGGCTGTGCCTTCGAGGATCGAAGGAGTTGCCATCTCTTCCGCGGCGGAAGGTCGGCGGAAGGCGGCGGAAGTAAATCGGGGCCACCTCCGCCGGCAGAAGCAGGCGGAAGCCCAGCGGCGGAAGGCGGCGGAAGCAAGAGGTGCGAGACCAAGAGATGCAGTCGTTTCTGGGCCTAGGGTGTCCGAGATCGCCCGCGCGAGGCTGTCGCCGTCGATCCGAGGTCGGAGCAGCGCCGCGGGGGCCGATCGCGCTCTCTGGGAGCGGCAGCGAGAGCAGAGGCGCCGAGGCCTCGCGCGGCAGGGCTGCGGCGGGCCTGGCGGCAGCAGGGGGCGGGGGCGGCACAGAGGGGGGCCGGGGGAGGTCCTCCTCCTCCGCCATGGGCGGTCATAGGCCGCGCAGTGGAGGGCATTGGCGCGAGCGTTGCACAGCATAGGCGTGGTAGTAGCCGCATCTTCACAAGTGTTGCATCCAGAACATGGCGTGCCACTATTGTTAGGGCACGAAGCGGTAAAACATTACCCGTGCCTTAAACGACAGCCGTGACAATCCTCATCGCCGTAGCCATTCTGGCTCAAGTCACATGCTAGGCCAGGGCCCCTGACGCGCCCGACCGTCCGCATGCAGTGGTGTGCGCCGCCGCCGCCGTCTTGCGTGGCGCTTGCTTATTGAGGTGATCCGCTGCATGGCGCAGTGCCGCTCGCCATTAATGTTGGGAATTCCTCGTGATCGTGCTCGTGTGCGTGGTTCTCTTCGAGCTCTACCCATTGGCATGCGCCCCATCGCCGTCCCCGAGCACATGACGTCACATGCCAAGGACGTCGTCAAGGGCCCTGCTGCACACATTCCGTGGTGCAAACGGCCTCTGGCGTGCATGCTCATAGTCTGCGTTCTGCGATCGAGCAGGCCACCCCTTTCTTTGACGCCGACTCGCCCACGCAGCTGCGGGACATCAACACGCGCGGGCTGGCCGTGCCAAACATTGCGTTCCTGTCGTTCCTGCCAGTGATGCCGTGCCACAACCGCACACATCGGACAAGCGCGAGTTTCAGTTGGACTTGCTCCTTCCTCGGCATGCGCCTCGACCTGATGGGGGTCTTGCGCATGCTCTGGCGCACGGCATGCTCGCGATGTCGCATGCGCTGCAGGTCATCAGTCAATTCGTGCGCATGCCGACCATCATGCTGGTGGGAGTTTGTGACGACGGTCATCGTCAACACGTTTCCAACCGTGTCACCGAATTGCACGAGCCCGTTTACACCGACTTCGAGCCTGCGCCTTTCTATCTAGTGGAGTCCGCGTTGGTTCCTCGAGTGAACGCTCGTCCGCGAGACCGCCAACCGCGCCCTCCTCGGGTGCCACGAGAGCGAGAGCGACCGCGTCATCGTCGGTTTCTTGTCTGGGGACTTTGACCGCGCCTTCTGGGGGCAACGCCTGCGCGAGAACGACCTCGTCCACTGCGGCTTCGTGCCGGGGGAATTCGACCGCGACTTCTGCAACGGCCCCAATAACCAGCGCCGCAAGTGGCAGAATCTCTACGAGACCGCCAAGTACCACCAGTGGTCCAGCTACCTTCTCCAGTTCTGCTTCTGCGACGGCTTCGGGTACCATTCTGAGGAGCTCAACCGCGCGCTCTTCGGGCACCACGCGGGCGAGATCGACTGCGACCTCTTCGGCCTCGTGTCTAAGGAATTCAACCGCGGCTTCCTTGGGCTCCACTTGTGCAAGTTGCAAGTACGACCGCTTTGTCATCGGCTTCGGGTTTGCGGAATTCGACAGCGCTGTCAGGGTCTCCCGCCGGAGCAAGAACGACCGCGACCTCTGCGGCTTCGAGTCTGAGGACTTCGACAGCGACCTCTAGAAATACCGCCTGTGCAAGGACCACCGCGTCGGCTTCCACCTCGCGCATGAGGAATTCGACTGCTCCAAGTGGCCCTCAAATCTGTTCCGCTGCCGCTGCTGGTGGCGTCCCTGTGTAACCTATCGGTGCCGAGCGTTTCCCTCAAGATTGTCCCGCCGCCGCTGCAGGTGGCGTTTCTGTTCAAGCCAATAGTGACGATTCGCACCCTCGAGATGTGCGCGGTACCCCGGAGGTGTGCCGAGCAAGAGTCGACCATTTGTCCTTCGGCTTCTTTGTCTTGACTTCCAGCGCTCGTTCTTCCTCGACCGCTTCTTTGTCGCCTGGGCCGACGTTGGCGAGCGCAAAGCACGCCCACACATTCTTCGTGGACACCTTCTTCACAGCCTGGGGTTGTCTAGTGGAGGACCGCAGAAAGTCGAGTATAGCCAGGCCCCTAGTTAAGGTGACCCCTTTAGTATTCGTGCCCCGGAGCACCTAAATTGGCCAGAATCACTAAACCAGGTCTGCGGTAGTTCGTGTTTTTGTTCGGGTGACGGCAGTTCCGGCTAGTGGAACGGAGCGTGGGGGCGCCCCCCAGTACACATCATTAAACCAGGTCCCGTTAAACCCAGTTTTGCCAACGCCCGAAAAAAAACACGACTTCCCGCCAGGTCGTCCGAGACCTACCCCACAGCAAGCTGATGGAGGTGCGGAGGCTTCTCCTGCTGCTGATCCTGTCGGTGGCGCCCGCCCCCCTCATGAGGAGCCCGCTGACGCCGCCGAGAGTAGCAACGTCAATCATCTGCATGTTCCTACTGTTGACGTCGGCCGCCCGCTGTTCAACGCGAGCCCCGCCTTCCCGAAGCTCGCTGCTGATACCGATATTCATACTCCCCGCTCGGGTGGACTGGTTGCTTCCACTGGTGGGTTTTCCCATTCTCTGCCGACCTGCTCGGCCACGACAACACCTTCGACCTTCACAAGGTCGCTTGCACGCACCCCGACGCCGTCGGCCTCAACATGAACAGTGACTTCGTAAGCTGGCCGCTCGGCCCCCACGCGGCGCGGTAGCGCGGCGCGACTGAGAGACGCCCCCCTTCGGTGTCATTGCTGTTCCTCCTCCTCCTCCTCCTCCTCCTCCTCCTCTTCCTCCTCCTCCTCTTCTTCCAGGAGGAGGCC